TCACCGTGATGGACATCGTCACACACACGCAAATGTACACCGCGCCAACTCATCACTGCATTCGCTTAGGTTTACTTTTTGCTCCCCCCATTCCTAGTTATTGCCATGTGACGCGTCATCATGCAATATTAATACGTGCACTGAACTCCCCATAATTTGCTCCTTGCTCACTGATCTAACTACAAGTTGGATGTATTCTAGACTATCGGGAGACCTTGAGGTAGCCGTTTTCATAAATCTGGAGCTCTTTATCATGCTATTAAGCCAAAGAACAAACAAGCTGTTCGCCAAAGTTGGATTGGGGTGGATTTTATGTTTTTACATAATTATGCAGTTATATAATCTTTATCGTTGTAAAGCAAAATACAGTAACGTCAACTTCACTGGTTGCTGTCAGACGTAATGCATACAAGGTACGTGAGAATGTGTAAGCAGGATAAGGATTGGGCCTATTTCGGAGGACGGGGAAATAAAGCGAACCTCTATGGTCAACACAGTCCAACTGTGCGTGCACACTATTCGAAGCACTCTGGTCCGATCAGTGGGCTACTACTCAGATATCCTTTGTTTAATTCTTTCTCTTCCGTACCCAGCTCTTTCCCTTTGCTCCTTTTTTCGATCAGTAACAGTCCCTCAGGCAAATGGGATCTCGCTTACCAAATAACACTGTTAGTAATTTATCTCAAAATGGATTGCAGATTCTGAAGCCTCGTCAATCACTGAATCTGGTGGCCTTCAACTCTGATGCACAAAGGTCATCAAGCTTGTCTGGCGCGTACAATGGAATTCTTGGGGATCGATATTTGCTGCGCATTGGAGACTGAAATTCAAGATCCAACTATTACAAGCCACCTGAGCGCACCAGATTTATTATCGAAGTATGTTCTTTGCACATAAGGCGACTTCGAAGCCTGTTCAATAGGTCAGTGCGGGGTAGGTATTGTAATCAGTAACAGGGCTGAGTCCCCTCTTATTGATTGGATCCCCATTAATAGTCGTTTGTGCGTTTCCAATGTTTACTCAGCATCCGGAAGGGAAGCTACACCAAAAGGAGTTTTTTATTCATATCCGCGTATGCACCGATCAGTT